AGAGCGATGTAATATTTCGCAACTAAACATACGCCTCCCTTCCTTAAAAAATCTTCTAAACACGCATTTTATTGTAAGTGTAGAATATTCCGGTGTTTAGCATGAACCCTTTGAAACCATGTCTGTGTTTTCTGCTCAAACCTTACTTCAAAAAGAAAACATTACTTGGAAGGTAAAAAACTGGAAGAATATTAAAAAAATTCTTTTCCAGAAACTCTGGGTCACATTCTGCAGAAAGCGTCTTGTCGCTTTCGCGAACGCCAGAGGCCACAATGAGCGCGAGCTTTTAGCCCAACTTTGCAATCACGTCTCATCCCTTATTTCGGCTGGCTCTCTTCGTGACACCGAAGATTCCTGAAGCGCTGGTGAAAGACTCACCATGTTTCTTTGGTGTATGGCTCCGTCCGGAATTCAGGACCAGCAGTCTTTTTTAGGAACTTGTCGACATCGTTGTCGATGCAAACCTGTTCTTTTCAACCACGCCTTCCTTCTTGGGGACGCGTGTCCCTTTTCGCTACTCCCCTCTCATTAATTTCGCCTGAGAGCCCATCTCAAAGGCGATTTTGTTGAATCGACTGATGGCCAACCCTTCCGTTTTTGCTGCGGCGTGCCACCTGCCTCCACCATTTGTGCTCCCACACATCCCCGCTTCTTTCTTTTGCGATGACGCTTACGTACAACCTTTCTTCGGTTGTTACAAACTTCCCTGGTTGCGTCATCGGCAATCTTACAGTTCAGGTGTGCCTGTGCACCACCATTTCTGAACCTTTTGCCCTTTCATTTCTCCGCTCCATTGCAATGTCTGGCTAATTTCCCTGCGCTACCCCTCACAAAACCAGACGCTGGGCCCTCCTTAACCACAGATCTGAACTCTTGGAGATTCTCGTCCTTCTCGATTTCGGGTAGGTTTCAGCGTCCAGCCGATCGTTTACGTGCCGCCGCACAAGGTGCGTCTCTAACACCACACAAGCTCTGTTAATGTAGCTGGGATTAGCGTTTTCCTACAAATGATCATACAATGAACTGGCGCCTGTTTGTACACCTACAACAGCCTCGCAATGTATTTTCTCAACGTCTGTGGCATTTCCCATGCTATTTGTAGGAAATACTTTCAACAGTAGCTCGCCGTCTCTGGCAGCACTGTCGGGTTTCAGAAGCGTTATGTCTTCGCTATATTTCGGACTACCTTCGTCCTCCTCTCTTTCGACATTCAAAAAGCCATTCCCCTGCCCAGGCATCAGCGTAGTCTCCAGCTCATCAATCTGTTCAATGACCCCATCAGGGTGACTGTAACTACCCTCGGTCTCACATGGAACACCTTTTGGACTTGCTACAGTTTGCGTACCAGCCACGGTCCCGCTCTCTACGTGCATTACCTTCGCACCATCGGAATGTCGCGTATCTTCCCTAGGCGTATTTTCACTAACAACGACCTGTTGCTCTTTTCTCTTCACCGAAGAATCACTTTGCATGTCACACACATAGAAACGCGTATCTTTCTCGGTTGGTACCTGACAAATAGTGGCTTTCTTGGTGACTTCACCCTCCACAGTATTCGCCACCTCATCACACCTTTTGGGCTTCACACGTACCCGACATTTACACGGCCCAAGACGCTTCCGATGCTGTGCCCTAATTTCACGATTCACCCTTTCTATCTGTTCATCTAATGCGCGCATTTTAGCTTCGTGTATACGTATCTTTTCAGCTTCTCTCTCAGCCTCTTCTCTCTGGGCTTCTGCCTCTTGCCTCTGAGCTTCTGCCTCTTTTCTTTGTTGAATGCTCTCGACATACTCCGAGGGGTCCTCATCGTTTGACCCTGTCCCGATGATCCACTCGATGAGTTGTGTTCTTGTTGGACAGTCCGACACATCCAGTTTGAACTCCCTTGCGAACGCTAGCAACACGGGTTTTCGCAGGGCTTTCAGATTCATGACTGCTTCCGACACCGTTCTCTGTTCCACGAATGATTCCTGTATTGCAACTAATTTAACCCAGCAACAACAACTGCCCTAGTTTTCTGCCTTGCCTCAAATTATTTGTTAAGTTTGTCTGCAAAATCTTTGTTAGGCTGCTACACGGAATCCTGTTCTGTTACTGTTAACCTTGCCGTCACCCACAGACTATAGCTTAAACAAGCTATCTCGCAATTATCTGCCCGACGCAAATTGTTTGTTAATCCAATGACAAGAGCTCTGGCAAATATAAGTGACAGACCTTAACGACGAAATAATGATATGCATGTCATCATTTTCATGTTATGATAGTCATGACTACACGTCACGCTGAGCGTGTGCTCGCGGTCCTCTCTGTAGCTTTGCATGTACTAAATTCGGTAATACTGGACGAATGGATGACGAATGTATGTGACTGGTGCAAACATGATAATTATGTGGTCCGTGTTATGTCAGAACATGACTACATGCCACACTCATGATGTGCTTGCGACCTTTTCGCTAGCTTCACAGGTATATCAAGTTTGTTGCTACGTGACGTTAATGAATGGCGAAGATATATGACTGGTACAAACATGATACTCATGATACGAGTGTCATTTAAAAACATGACCAATTACGGCGCTCATTATGCGCACGCGGCCCTTTTATTAGCTTCACATATACGAAATTTGGTATTAGAAGACGTGGATGGACGACATAAGTAAATTACACATCCAGTCATAATAACGATGATATGCGTGTCATGTAAAACATGATTGCATAGTACGCCCATAGCGTTCTTGCGGCCCGTTTCGCTAGCTCCACATATACGATATTTAGTATTACGGGACGTGAATGGATGACGAAGCTAAATGACAAGTCCAAAGATGATAATCATGACATGAGTGTGGTGTAAAGATGACTGCATGCTACGTTTGTAGCTAGCTTCACAGCCGTTTAGCTAGCTTCACATATCACGTCACGTGATACTAAATTTGGTATCACTTTACGTAAATAGACGACTAAGGTAAATTACACATCCAAACATGATAATCATGACATGGAAGTCATGTACGGCGTAGGGTACGTCCACCTCGTAACGATGTGCTCATTTTAAACTGACCAATCAACCTTCCTCATTCGTGCTCCGCATGTCATTGATTCCCACAGTACGTGGTGTCTGCCAATTTTTCTAAGGGGCAAAGGTCCTTAATCCGTGGGTCGTGCGTCTGAGATGTATGTTAGTAGTAGTAGTAGTAGTTATAGTAGTAGTAGTAGTCGTTGTTGTCGTTGTTGTCGTTGTTGTTGTTGTTGTTGTAGGTTGCCACCTCCACGGCTGGACTAGAGGAGCAGCACGCGCGCACTCTTTTAAATTGAGGAGGTAACCACGCACGTTAATCACAAAAAGGATATTTGTTTCTGATGAAATCTTCTACAGAGACTAGTACCTGTGACTTTATATTCACTAAAATTTGCCTTGCATTTGATACTTACTAAAAAACTAGTAACAGGAGATGAACTTTAGGCACTACCTGACCAGAAACAGTTGCCATGTTAAACTCGCTAGGCGTGGCCTCCTTGGTTTTAGAAAGTTTTAGCAAGAGTTGGGCCGCAGTTCCATAAACTAGCGGCAGTGAAGGGTATAAAATAGACATGAAGCGCAAGCCGTAAGAGTGTGCGTTCGGGCCGCTCCTCTAGTCGGCCCGTGCCACCTATCGCTTAGTCCTTGGAATGTCCACTAGATGGCGGTACTTGAATATGATGAAAAGGTGCGAGATGGTGGTACCTAGAGTGTTCACTGGATGGGCGGACGGATGGACAGACGCACGTACGGACGAACGGACTGACAGACAGATGCACAGATGGATGGACGCTTGGACGGATGGATGAACGCACTACGGAAGCACGGATTGACGGATGGACGGATAGATGGACCCACGGACGTGTGCACTGTAAGAAAGGACGCATGGATGAACGCAGGGACAGATACACAGAAGAATAGGCTGAACGCACAGACGAGCGGACGCATGGACGGACGGAAAGATGCACAGACGGATGGAAAGATGCACGAACGTTAGCATAGGCGGACGCAAGATGGGCGGAAGCAAGAATGAACAGACGGACGGAAACATGGAGGGCCTGACAGATGCTTCGCCCCACTCATCATCATGCACTCCGTGAATATGCTATGGTTTTTCAAACTAAGTCACAGTTGTAACTCGATAACCCACATTGCGATATTTTATTGTCTGCTAGCCTCCGCCACCTGCGGTCACTGTGGCTGATTGGCGGCGTCAGCTGCGCTGCCGCTTTGAGGCGGCACTCACCAGCGACGAGCTGACCGACCAGCTAAAGGCCGTCCTGCAAGCTGAAGATGCCGCGCGGGTCCAAGGACTTCGAGCGGTCACCTGAGGCACCGCCATCATGATGGACGGACTGTGTGAAGGGACAGGGGTTATTCCCCTCTTCCCCCAACTCGCCCTGTGAAAACTGCCGGACTTTAAAGTTTATTCGTTCATTCATATATTCCACAATAATAACGTAAAATTGTGGTTCTTCCTCGTAATTATTGAACTGTATAGTGCTTCTAAGCACACGGATAACAGCCCGATTTCCAGAATAGATGAAGGAAATGTTAAGAAGGGAGCATTGCGGAGCGCCACGAAAGAAAGCAAAGCGCTGGTCACTGAGACATTTTTGATAAAAACAAAAATAATACCTTACTTCATTCTGCTGGCTTTAATCACTTCATCGTTATAACCGCAGGTCAAGTCGTCATATTAGAAATCAACTTACAGAAAATGATGAAACAATGCACCAACTACTCGGCCCTTCTTGTCCATAAAGTATGAGTCATGCTCAAAGTATAAAAAGGAACGACAGCACTACTAGCTTCTCTCCCTCATTTTCCCGAAAGGGCAAATAACCCTTCATTTTTATTGTTTACGTATTTACTGTTGTCATTATTAGAGAAGAATTTTTGCGCCACCTCTCTGATAACGGGGACAGGGCGGAAAAGGACATCAGTTTCCTCATGTTCTTAACGATCCGCCTTTATTTCAGAGCGCACGCCCAACATGAGCATCCCTGAAATGAATATTACACTGTCCTACAAAACTTACACGCTTATGGTACTGTATAGCGACTCTATGTGTCTTATTCTCGCCGAAACACTTCGAACAGGTAAGATTGAAAAGTTTTGATCAATGCTATACCTATTCAATGCGCAAGTTCATTATATGCGTTAAATAGTTGAAGCCTGCTTGCTGGTTACAAATTAGCGCACGGCATAGGCACATGTTCAGCCCAAATGCTATGTCAGAGCAGGACCCTATAGGCGGCTTCCAGCCGGGTAAACAGTAAAACTGTGCCCGAGCCAAACACGGATCTTATTCCATTTCAGAAGAGTCTCGGTTAAATGAGTTGAGAATGGGAAAGTGCAGTGGACATAAACTGAATTGTTCAAAAGAATTATAGCTTCGAAAGTTCAGGGGTTTCCCGAGGAGTTTCAAAAATACGTGGTTTCTACCTCACTACAAAGCAACGATAAATATCATAGATTAGCGGCGCGCTTCATTACATGAGAACACAGTAAAGAAGTTTGTTATTCATAACTAGGCGCTCCATTTTCTTCGTTTATGGTGAATAGGAATATTTAAAGCAGTGATCATAGTTTTCATGGGACATGTGCTGTCTTAATTTACCATTCCTGATCATGTAGATTACGTTCCCATGTTCTCTGGGTAGTTGATGAGATGAGTTGAATGGTGGTGACATCTGTGACCACGTCGTCCAACGAGACATCCTGTCTCCATTCAAGTTCAAGTTTCAAGTTTTTAGTTTTAATATTTCCAAAAACAAGGTACAAAATCTGAGATATACAGACGAGGGTCCCAGAGCCAGAGATTTTAGTGGGACCCACGGTTTGTCTATACAAATCGATGGTGAAATTTATACAGAGCAACAGAGAATTCTTACAATATACGGACATCAAAATGCACTTTTATATCACAAATCAAGCCAAAACACGCAACATAGTATAAAAAAAAACGAAGAACAAACGAATCAAACAGGTAAACGATCACAAGTAAGGTGATCGCAGAACCAGTTGGCGCAGAACCAGTCCGGCAACATTTTTGCTTTGTTGCGAGCTGCTTAGCCCAATCCAGGCGCAGGCCCTTCATGAGAATGCGTCGACGATATTCATCGAATCATTTTTTCCCCGAAGAATGGATCCAGTGACGCCTTTGTTCTCACTTTACTGAGATGTGTGCCGCCCATCTCAGGAGCATGCACTTCCTTGAAATGCATCGAGAAGTTAGCCGATAGGTTATCAGCCACCGGACGAATTCCAAACCTAATGACTGGCACAACAAAGCCAATTCGACATGTCTGATTTAGATAGTATCAGGTTCGACTCTATTCTATACAAATTTTCATTCCGTGCCTCGCATAAACCGGGAACACCCGCTTTGTGTCAAACAGTTTCTAGAATAGCATATATCCATGTGTAGTGTAGTACTGCAAGAAAATGTGGGATATATGCGGGCCTGAGGATAAAGTAAAAGAGGAGAATAGCTTAAATCATGACAGATCCTCGTGTATTGTTGTTTATGCGCCACAAAGGGTGAGTATTTGTGAAGCAGCTCTTAACATAGTATACCTATGCATAGTATTGTCTCTAGTGTTAATTTCGTTGAAAAATGCTGCAGTTTTCATGTTCAGGATGAAACTCTCATTTCGTACGAGCTTTTGCCCATGAAATGAGACGTTATAGTACTATGTAGCAATACCTGCAGCCTACTGATAGCCGCAAGCGTTGGTCATCTGAACTTTGAAGAACACGCCCCGTTTACACGTCAATCATTGAACTTTTTAAAGTTATAATAGGTGCTCGTGTAAGTTGTCAAATAAACTTGACTATCAGTTTCCTGGGCATAATCTTGCGTAGTATTCTGGTACGATCGCGAAGCTTCGTGATTTCGGTGGTGCAATGTCTTTTGCTGACCTAACTCAAGGGCACCAAAATACAGCAGCAAACATGTGTGGAAATAGTATAACGAGGTAGTGAGAAAAGAAGTGAGGGTGATGAAGAAGAAGGAAGATGTAAGAGTATAAACCTTAAAATAAGCATGCACAGCATGTCATAACCAGGGTTTGGAAAAGAGGTAAGGATGACGAGGAAGAAAAAGTGGTCAGTGGCTTATAATGCTGGAACGTACGTTTGTAGCATACGTTTAGTAGCATTAGTTGCAGGGTTTCTAACCTATAAAACGGACATTAATTTTAACAGCGTAACAAACTAAACACTATAAACAGGTTTAGCGGTACATTGCACAAAAATGTACATCACGCACTGTAGGCCTGGCTGTGCAGCTTATTCGCTATAGCCTATTCTCTTACTGTTTTGTGTATGTGTGTGTTTGTATTCCCAAAACTTAAGTGCCAACTTGCAAGATATTCAAAAGTTCACTTGAACGATGCAAAAAAGCTTCTCGATAGTTAAATGAAAATGGATTGATTGCAATGTATATCTAATTGGCCACGTGAACGTACCAAGTAATAGAGGGTGTAACAAAGAAAACACAGCAGACACAGTATCAACAGAAGTAGTGAAACGTGACAAATTGACAATATATACGCTCACATTGATATTATGCGGAATTTTACGTCTCGAAACCATCACATGTTTATGAGAAAGGTTGTGATGAAAATTTTGACTATCTTTTGCACCTTAACGTGCTCTGACATCGTACAGTACACGGGCCTCTACCACTTCGCGTCTATAAAAATGCGGCTGCTGCGACCGAGATCGAACTTGTGTCCTTCGTTTCAGCAGCCGAGCACCATGGCAACTGATCCACCGAGGCGGACACAATGCACCTATTTTGTAGAATAAAAATGTATAACACACTGAAACTGAAAAGGTCTTTAAAGGTCAACTGCGGCAATTTTTTGAGATCCATAGATCTCTGTGAAATTCCCTGGGTTCGTTCATTCGCACGTTTGCGCCATTCATACCATATGGCAGGCTTGAGAGCTCCACACATTCTTTTCCGATTAAGTTTCTGGCTTGCCTCCAAACGCTTAACACGCTCGCCAGAATTATTGGCAACATTGTGTGCGTGGCACTGAGTTTTGCCTGGCGAAAACGATGGAAGTGATGCACCACTGCAGCGTCTGCTTGTTTTCAATTGCTTCTGTAGGTTGGGCCGGCGCTTTCTTGGTTGAGCGTGTGATTTACTTTTTTCGTGTTGGTGGGCGTGCAATAGGTGACAAGTGGTGTTGCGTTGCTGGCCGCATGCAATTCACCTAATATTCACTATAACAGTGGAATCGCATTAGCAGATCAAAACATGCACAAGCACGACGTGGACAGGTAGTGTCATATGGCGAACATAATGCGCAATCAGGCAAGTTCGGGCAAATACTTACGTCACACGTGCACTTGTTTGAGCTTCGGTTTCCATATTGAGGTGTGTTGCTAAGTAAAAGATATTTACAAAGTTGTCGAGCATTTTGGTTATTGGGCAGGCGAAAAAAGTGTCTCGGGAAGATAAGAGCGAAATTAGATTGATATGATCACAAAATTGTCGGAGTTGGCCTTTAAAAGGGGAACATACGCTACTCATTTGAGGGCTATAGCGGAGTCTCATTCTACATTGTTAAACACCACTCAATATATTCCCCAGGTTACTCCTCAATTTATTTCAGTACAGACTTTGGCCTCGATATTGTGTTAGCATTACAGTTGAATAGCGTAAATGATTATGTGCTTAATTATCAAGTCTGCGTCGCAAATGTTACGCATATTTTTAGAATAAGTAATATTTTATGACAATCAGATATTTGTGCTGTCACCCTGCCAGTTCAGTAATGTTCTAGAGAAATGCCAAATAGCAGTTTTCTACCGGCGTAACACTAAGTCCTCTCCTTTTATTTGTCCTGTTTATATTTACAGCATCTGTCGGTCGCCCTTGGCTCCGGTGCGGATTGTGGGTTTTAGAACATCGCATACGGAAAGCCACCAAAGTGTTGCCTGTTCATTTTCGAACTTCTGTGCGTCTATCGCGATCATGAGGATCAAATTTTTCCGGCCATCATGCATTCGTAACGAAACTACAACGAATCATTCACATCAAGGTAAAGTAGCTGTTGGGTTTGACTCTAAACCAGTGAAAATAAAGGTTTTGGTTACAAAACTAATTGAAGGCCCGGTAGCATTGCTTTGTACATGTCGAAGTATCTGCCTGGTGGTTTAAATAAACGTTATAAGCAATAAATAATATATCAGTATATATCCGCCGTCAACATATTATTACAATTATACCCTCAAATGCCAAGTGAAGACGCTATTGCTCTAGAACGTTTGTTTACTGGCACAACTCAACAAAAAAATAAGTTAAAAAAATCTTTGATAAGGTTTAATAAATTATTATATAGGTCCTGAACTGTAAAAGTGTCAACAAATCTTTTTAGAATTATGATGCACTGGTCAGAATAAGTGTGGTGGGTGTACGTCTAGCTAGAACGTATTGCATTTGTACTTTTTTACTTACTTACAAGTGGAAAACATACCTAAACTACGAGCTTCGTAAAAAAACTGGCAGTAAGATAGAAACAAGAAAATTTAAAAAACTGCACAAAGTTAGCTTTCTAGTCAAATTTTCTTAGACATCCTTTTTCGAGGCATGAATTCAGAATCCTTTGCTGAAAACGTGCGTGTTTCTAATATCACGTTTATGCAGATAGCAAAATTAGTATGAAACGTTATTTAGATGAACGTGCTAGCATTAAATGGGGGCAAATGAAGTTTGTGCAGGTGAGGCAAGTTGTATAATCGGAGGCTGCTAACTATGTTTCACGCTGAACACTTTCTCCGTATGCTACTTAGGAAAGCAGCGCAACACAAACATATCATTCTGAAATGAATGACATATATTCACAAGAAGTTCTAATTTAGGCCTGCCTTTTCATGTTAGCTAAAACAGATGAAGATTACTCATGGTAATCGTATATTCTCCGGTGATCGTCGCATTCATTCATAGGTCGGGATAAAAATTAAGGATTTAAACGTGGTAGCAATATCTTCTCCCTAAGGCATACTTCAACCACTTGGTGCATAGATTTTAATTCATGACGTTACTCAAGAAGTTTAAATTGGGGACTACTACAATGCAATCAATAAAGTTCAATGTGACTTGTGCCAGTGAAGCTTACGCATATGACCAACTTCGTCGAATAAGCTGCAACGCACACCGGTATACCATGCTCTGAATATTACCGAGGATGGATCCTAGAGTGTAACCGGCATATTTAAACAATGATTAAGTCTCTCATCGATGTAATCGCACCCTCACAGGCGATATGAACAAATCAACAGCACGATGCACAGTGAAAGCATTGAACGCACTGAGTCCAGTGTTTGCCAACTGTGCTTACACAATACAGTTTATCCACCGGCATCATTTCGTGAAAAAGTGCGTAGTGCGATGGGACAAATGCCAGAGGGGTAAAATCACAGATTTGATGTCTTCGCCAGCACGTTTTCTGGAACATATTTCTTATATGAATACCATGAGAACCAAACTTGCCAAAAGCCTTAGTTTAGTTATCTGTTCACAAATTATTCACGTGGTCGACTAATGGAAAACCTAGCAAAGTGATTTCATATACCTGATCTACCATCTACATACCACCGAAACACCACCGAAAAAATAGTACTTTCGCCTACGCGTTACAAAGTAGAAGGTGTCCTTCACATTTATCGGCTCCTACATTTCACCGTCTGTTCAGTTCGATAATGAAAGACTGCATCACATCATTGTGACACCTGATTCATGGATTCCCATTGCTCATTTCAATGATCATCAGTCACTTTGGGTAGCACCAAAACTGATCGAGGGGCCAAAATTTTGCTGAATCAGCCTGTCATCACAAACCGCACGATATGAATGATGACAGTCCAGCATATCTGCGTGGTTACAGGTACAGTAGATGCTAAACTTGGCACTGGCGTCATGGTGATTCACTCTAAAAGTGCGATGGTTCACCGATATAGAGACTCACGGCACCCATCATATTGTATTTGAAGGTCACATGTTTTCCGAATTTATCTATTTAAGTTCACATATTGCTCAATTACACAATGTCTCAGAGAAGTGTGGATGAGGCATGTGAAGGTATCCCATGCGGCCTGGAGGTGGTAAATATAAATGAGGTGGGAGTAATTCAGAGGGTGGTTACGTACACATGAAAGCACGCAGAATTTGATGCGGAACTTGAGTGGTTACGAATGATTCTTAGGCAGCTGAAAGGAGGTACTGGTGCACCAATTCAATTCGTGGCTTAAGAGATGCCCGACGTCTACAACAGAAACTTCATCAAATGAATAAGCTGGAGGATGAACAGCAGAAAAAAAAGCGAAAGTCACTCGATCCTCGGAAGCATTTGTCTCTTATACGGCGAACTGTGCGTAGCCTAGTTTTCTTTTTATTTCACAACAACGAGAACCATTCAGCACACTGGCTCTCCAACAAGGCAACTTGGAAGTTTATGTTGCCGGAAATTTTCGCATGATGATTGTAGGTGGTGTGGTCATTATCACTGACGAGGTTCTCGGCGATGTTCTTGTAACGAGCGTTCCTTCACTGAATGTGCTTGTAGCAACGGGACGCCGCCTGACGTAGATTTGCCGTCATCGCAGGTTAAATGAAAGGACGAGACGTACAGGAAAAAGCGAGCTGCCGAAGTAGAGCAGCGGCCGTGGTGTCCAGCCAGATAGAAGCGTCTAAACTTCCAGGCACCTCGTGCCGCGAGCCACCAGCGCTCGTCATCTTTTTTCCTAGCCGGCTGGCTGACACTAGCGCTACGCTGCAAGGGCTCTCCGCTTAGCCTGTTACGCGATAAAAAATGTGAATAAAAAAGAAGTCACAAAACACATATAAACATTATGTACAGATGCATCAGTTCCTGTAAGTATCCAATGGGAAGTTCGAAGGTCGTCATGATTGAAGGCATACGGAAGAGACCGACAGTTCCGGTGGGTGGCACTCGGAGCCACACAGCAGAGGAGGATGATAGAAGACCGACACTGCCGGTAGAAACACTGGAGGTCACTGCATGGGCGGCCCACTGAAGTCTTGGGCCCCCGATATAGGCGCGTGAATCTACGATGACATGTCACCGATTAGCATGATTTGCGGCGTGCGCGTTGCTGCTGTGGGCGCCCAGGTTGACGGGTGCTGGAACGTGCCGTCATGTCCGCATGACGCGTACCCTCGACGTTTGGCTGCAGCGCAAGTGGGGCAGTGGCATTGGAAATGCAGCAACGATGGGGCTGCTGGTACAAACGACATTGCCATCTTCGAAACGTAGGCGGGATAGAAGCGTTACTGGGACCCGGTGTCAGCGTACACCCTAAGCCGAAATTCGGCAAAGTTGGACTAACTGCAGTCGTTAAACCAATGGACGAACGGTTCGTCCAACAGGGACTAAATGTGTGACAATGCGTGTCTTGCGCAAACGCCCGGCAATGAAGGGACCAACGGGGAGGGCAACTGCGCCGCGATCGCCTCCTGTCGATGCTGCACTGCAATGCTCGGCGTGGTCGGCGATCATGAAAACAAGTTAAATAGGCTATACGCCACTGTGAAAGTGAAGCACTATGAAACGAATAGAAGATGTTATTAGAGGAAAGTAGTACAACACGCTGTCAGGGCACACAGCAAGTGCCCTCGCGTTTCCACCATGCCGGCACGGGCGAGCCGAAGCCAAGTGAAAGTCTCCGCAAACACGGGCAATGCCGAGAACTCGCTTTAATGTGCTGAATAAGTTCGAACTACGGTGAACACTGACAATGCTAATAAAGGTAAGCTGTTCATCAGCGGTCGTGTACCCGCACAGTGACCACAAGTTCAAAGCGATATATAGGAAAAGTAGGCTTCGTACGTCATCGGTATCAAGCGGGCTGCCGGTGTGACTGCATTGCCGGCACAAGCGAAGGAAACGTCGCGTACAAGTTCACAAAAATAGTAGCTCAGGCAAACTTATGTATTTTTATCCATGCGACAATCGTTATCAAAAATCCAACGTGTAGGCGATCGCGGATACGACTAATCGTGCGGCCAGCGGTACACAGGTTGTGCCTTACCAGCACGATGAAAGAACCGTGCCTGCGAACGGTCTCGTCGCTGTAAGTATACAGATATCTACATCACTCCGTAAGACACAGCGAACATGGGGCACTTACCTATTGTTCATTTGTGACTATAAAATAACGACGACGAAAATTTCACGCGAGCCGCATGTTGCGATCACCGGCGGTCGTTTAGCCGTACTCGTCGTAAGCCTAGCGACGCCATCGGCAAGCCGACACGGTATGGCATCGGCGGGGCGCCTGCGGCTGCTTCGTCGGCTTTCCCGCACAAGCGCCGCTGCTATGTTTGTGTTTGCGGACTCGTGCGCCAGCACTGCGAACGCTGGTTCGGCCGACATGATCGAATACCAGCTGATAATTCGTAGTCTCGGGCTGGAAGCATGTTGAATATTAGATAGATCCATATTAAAAGATCGGTGCGCATTGATGCTACGAATTAGCCGATGTAAATTTTCTTGTTACGGTATCAATGTTTATTGTTTTTTAAGCCGAGTAAAAGTCGCCCACTGGCACTAGATGGGAGGTCAGAATACTGTGCTATATATACCCGAGAGTCTGTTCTTTGTAGTACAGCGCGGGCAGTCAGTGTTTGCGGTGTTTTACTTTGAAATAATAGTGCGTATGTATGTGTGTGTGAGTGTTTGTGTTGCATGAATAACATACTATGATCTTCAGTGCTGATTAAATTGGAATAAACATAAAATATACTGCACAAACGCAGTGTCGCCATTTTTTTTGCCATTGGTCCAGACGGTTCAACTGTTAGTTCCGCTGGATCATTCTACTGGGGCCAACATTTAAACCAAGTGGAGTAAGTGCTTGGGGTAACAGTTGAGCCCTTGCAGTTACTCCCGCAGTTAGTCCAAAATTAGTTCAAAATCTGTGGCAGCGCATTTAGACCCCTAAAGGACCAATGGCATACCCCACTTTAGTCTTTTTCGGCTTAGAGTGTACTTGGGACCGGGGCACTTACATTTCCGGGACTTG